GAGAACACCTAGACCCATTCCATGACCACAGCCTCCGAGGGCGGATGGAGGACAAGCTGTTCGTCCCTGAGTGAGCTGAGCACTGCGGCTGCGGTGGCCCCTGCGGTCCACTTGCCACCTGCACTTGCTTCCTCCTGCCCTGAGCAGGGGCTGTGGCTGCCCGCCGGGTCAGAGAGTCCTCCGGCTCCCCTTGCAGAGGCGAGAGGAGGAGGATCATGGCACTGCCATGTTCTGGAGCAGGAACTCCAGTCCTGCATATCTGGAGGCTCTAGAGAGCTACTTTGTCCAGAATGAGCAAGAGTGCTGCCACTTCCTTCCTCCAGCAGCGCTCACTGAGTGCCTGCCCTGTGCCAGCCACTTCCCATTCTTAGAATGCAGTTGCTCACAGCCTGGGAGGTGGGTTCCTGTGTGCTCCTGTCAGTCTGATCGATGGTGCATGGCAAAGCACAGAGCTGCCACCTCCTGTCCTTCCCCTCTGCCCCAGCCCGTTAGGGAGAAGGGTGCTGTGGCCTGCTCATAGCTGTGCTCAGGAGAGCATCTGGAGAGCTTCGGGTGTCTTAGAGAAAGTAGCATCAGTCTGCAAAATGTTTCCTGCATTTGCTGCAGGAGACGCAATTGTGTTGGCTTGAGCCCAGTTCAGAGCAGACCTTGCAGAAAAAGAAATGAGGTGTCTTCTCAGGGAGAGAGAAGCCCGCCCCTCAGCTAGTCCAGGGAATGCGGGTCTGCTTCCGCCGGCCCTGCCCAGCGTGAGCCCCTAGGGAGGGTGGTGGGTGCGGGGCTGTGGAGCCCAACACGACGGAGTCTCCTGGGAACGCAAACCTGGCTCCGGCACGGGCTCTGGGTGCTGCTCACTCTCTCCTCCGAGATGCCCATGGTGGGCATGGGAGCTCTCACCTTCAGAGCCTCATCCTAAACCGAGGTCATCCTAGAGCTGCGAGGTGGAAGAGGCCTCGAGAGCCCACGGCGCCTGCGTTCTGTGCCCGGCTGCTCCCCCGTCCCAGCCGAGCTGCCTCGTAGACGCCCTCCCCTGCCGCTTCCCCGGGGGCCAGCACAGGTGTGCCCAGCTGAGCCAGCCTCTGATGTCTTGGATTGAAATGAATTAGGGCCTGAGGAGGAACAAAAAAAGGAAAAAGCCTAGGATTTGTCCCACACAAACCCCTGTTAGTCTCACCAAAGTCTCTGGAAAGGAGAAGCAGAGTTTACACAGGTGTTTTGGGGCCTGCTGTCTGGTTTTCTTTACAGCTCGGACCTTTGCACTTCAGGCCTCAGAGGAGCAGGCTACTTCGCACCTCGGAGGGCTGGGCAGAGGGCAGTGGAGGTCACTGCTAGCCCTCTCTAGAGCCAGAGTCATGGAAGTGGCAGAGAAGCAGAAGGGCCTGACCTGTGTGGCCCTGGGCAGTTGGGACACGGACGAACGCCGAGGCTGTGTCTCAGCCTCGGTCCTGGCCTGTGGGAGCCGCCGGCTCTGCCCAGACTGCCCTGGGGTCACAGGGCCTGCGTGTGGCCAGCACGAGGCAGGCACTTCGCCCGCCCCGGCCTTGTGTCCTCAGCTCTAGAACGGGGCTTAGGCCACGCCCTCGTAGACTCGTTGGGAGAGCGGAATGAGATGAGAAGCGTTTGACAGCAAAGCGCTCTACACGTCTTGATCTGCCTTGGAGCTCCACTGCCGTGTCCACACTGCCAGGGTTTCTCTTTTTCCAAAGCCCTGGTCCCCTCGGGAGTGGCAGTCCGTGCGGGGAGCAGCAGACACCGAGGCCGCCCACCCTGTGCGGGGCCCCGGCTCGGTCACGCTCCAGCTGAGCAGCCGCGGGCAGGTGGCCCCTCTGACCTGCAGGCCCCTACGTGCCAGCTCGGAACGACCACACTCCCCGCAGAAGTGCTTGCGGGTCAGCAGAGACAAGACACGTGGACGAGCACGCGCGGCTGGCGGCCTTTACCCCAAAGTCCTGGGCACGCTCTGAGAGCCTCTTCCTCGTTTCCGCTCCCGGGCCTCTTTCCACGCACCAGCAGTCGCGGGCGGAGCATTTGCCTTCTTCACTTTGAGGAGCCAGTGCAGGAGGCAGACTCCAGACCTCTCCCCAAAGGGCGACTTGCCGGGGGTCAGAGCACGGAGGGCTCGGCCCTCGGTCTGGGGATCCCCAGGAGGGAGGCCGACTCCAGTCTCGACCTCACGCCCAGGGTGCGGGTATGGGGCTTGCATTTCATGCCTTGTCTCCTCCGCACCTCTGTGGTGGCCTCAGGCCCGAGGCGTCTTGACAGAGCCATCTGGTATTCAGGGCGAAGCCCAAGGTGCCTTTGCAGCCGGTGCGCGGCGCTGGAGGGATGCACAGGCCGCCTCTGCCCTCTAGTGGCCAGAGAGGGAGACGCAGTGGCACCTCGGCGCCACGCCGGCCTGCCCAGGACACTGCGGGACCCGATTGCTTTGGGTGACAGTATGCATCAGTCACCTGGAGACACAGCAGCAGGCAGCACAAAAAACCCAAGCTAGACCAACATGTGCAGTCATCACCTGGACACACTCCGGATCCAAGATGTGGGGTTTCACACACCTGTTTATTTGTTCATTCATTCATTCAACAAATAGTTATGGAGAGTCTGTTCTGTGCCGGCGTGGCTCTAGAAAGCAGCGACACAGCAGTGACCAAGACGGGCAATGAGGGAGTGACGCCATCAGCAAGATGGCGAGTAGGACTTCCCAGCACCTGTCCCTGCACTGAAACACGGATTTGAACAACCATCCATGCGTGCAAATATCTTCATAAGAGCCAAGGAATCCAGGTGAGAGATTACACAGCCTGGTAGGGAGGATGGTTTCACATTTCCTGTGTTGCCCCTCCCCCAAGCCTGTGCAATGCATCACAAAAGATGATACCCTCCTCATGGGGGAAGGGAAAGCAAGTGAGCACCCAACTTCACTGCAGACCCTGGCTCCAAGCCACCCCAGTGCACTCTGGCATCAGGCCAGCCCCTGCAGACTCTGGCTCCAGGAGTCTGATAGTGTTAAAACAAAAACTTTACACGAATTAAATTTAGCAGAGTTTAATTGATTAAAGAAGGATTTGTGAATTGGCTGGTCCTCAGAACCAGAACAGGTTCAGAGCCCACAACATAGGCAAGCAACATTTATGGGCAGAAAATGTAGGGTAGGAACAGAGACAGCTCAGTTGATGGGTTCCAGCTTGTCATTTGCCTTATTTGAGCATGGTCTGATCACTTGGCCATCTGCAACTGACTGAGGCTCAGCTACTGAGATTGGCTGAGACTTAGTTATTTGTTACAAAAGCATACTCTTAAGTTAGGCTTTCAGTTAGTTTATGTACTAAGTTAGGTTGCAGTTTATTATGTAGGGACTCAAAGTAGGAAGGTATTCTCAGGCCAAATTCATTTTAATTTAACAATAGAGTGGTTGAATGGACAAAAAAAGATCCAATTATATGCTGCCTATAAGAGACTCACTTTGGCTTTAAGGACACAGATAGGCTGAAAGTAAAGGAATGGAAAAATATTCCATGCAAATGGTAACTAAAAGAGAGGAGGGGTGGCTAAACTTATATCAGATAAAACAGACTTTAAGTGAAAAACTGTCACAGGAGACAAAAAAGGTCATTATATAATGATAAAGGAATAAATTAATTAAGAGGATATAATAATTGTAAGTATATATACACTAAACATCATAAAATATATTAACGGAATTGTAGGAGATATAGACAGCAATATCATAGTAGTAGGAGACTTTAATACTCCACTTTCAACAATGGATCTTCCAGACTGAAAATCAATAGGGAACAGGACTTGAGCAGCACCATAAACCAAATAGACTTGGTACACATATATAGAACATCCCATCAAACAGCGGCAGAATACAGTCTTGTCAAGTATACATAGAACATTCTCCAAGGTACATGGAGACATCACACTATGTGATTTCAAAATACTATCCAGAGCTGTAATTATCAAAAGAGTATGATACCGGCATAAAAACAGAAATACAGACCAATGGAATAAAATAGAGGACCTAGAAATAAATTCATGCATTTTCAGTCAGTCGCTCTTAGGTGCCAAGAATACCTAATGGGGAAAGGACAGTCTTTTCAATACATGGTGTTGGGAAAACCGTGTATCCATATGCAGAAAAATAAAATTGAACCCATATCTCACACCATATACAAAAGTCAACTAAAAATGGACTAAAGACTTAAAAATAAGACCTGAAACTGTAAAACTACTAGATAAAAAACACAGGGAAAAAGCTTCTTGACATTGATCCTTGGCAATGACTTTTTTTTGGATATGACCTCAAAAGCACAGGCAACAAAAGCAAAAATAGATAAATGGGATTACATCAAACTAAAAAGCTTCTGCACAGCAAATAAAGAATCAACAGAGTAAAAGACGCAACCTACAAAATGGGAGAAAATATTTGCAAACCATACATCTGATAAGTTAATATCCAAAATATATAAGACATTCAAACAACTCAATAGCAAGAAAACAACCTGATTAAATCTGGGCAAAGTACCTGGATACATATTTCTTAAAAGAAGACATACAAATGACCCAGAGCTATATAAAAAAACATCCAATATCACTTATCATCAGAGACATGCGAGTCGAACCACAATGAGATGTCACCTCATACCCGTTAGAATGACTATCTGAGAAAGGCAGAAGGTAAATGTTGTCAAGTATGTAGAGAAAAGGAGACCCTTGTACACTGTTAGTGAGAATGTAAATTGGTACAACTATGACAGAAACGGTTTGGAAATTTTCTCAGAAAATTAAAAATAGAACTACTATATAATCTAGCAATCCCATTCTGGAACTGAAATGGATATGTTGATGAGGCATCTGCAATCCCATGCTCATTGCAGCATCATTCACAATAGGTGAGATGTGTGATCAACCTAAGTGTTCAGCAGAGGAATGGGGAAAGAAAATGTGATATGTATGTGTGTGTGTGTGTGTGTGTGTGCAATGGATTATTTTTTGGCCTTAAAAAAGAAGGAAATTCTGACACACGCTGTGACATGGATGAACCTTGAGGACACTATGCTAAGTGAAACAAGACAGTGACAGAAAAGCAGATATTATGATTTCACATATATGAAAGACCTAGACTAGTCAAATACGTACAGAGAAAATAGAATGGTGGGGCCAGGACAGAGGGGGGGACAGGGAATTATGCTTTAGTGAGCACAAAGCTTTAGTCCTGTAGGGTGAATAAGTTCTGGAGATCTAATGTACAGCGTGGTTACTAGAGTTAATAATTACTGTATTCTTAACATTTACTGAGAGAGTGGATCTTAAATGTTCTCATCACACACATAAGAAAGCCGCTATTGAAGTGACGAATGTGCTGCTTAGCCTTACTGCGGTAATCGTTTCACAATGCACACATATATCAAAATATCATTGTATACTTTAAACGTATGCCATTTTATTTGTCAGTTATACCTCAGTAAAGACGGAAAAATGTTAAAACAGCCTCCCTGCTACCCACCCCCAGTAACCACATAGGCGAGTCCATCTACTCATGGGGTTTTCATTCCAGTGAGTGTGAGGTTTGCCGGGACATGGGTGGGGGTCTTCTCACCCCCCCTGCCCCAGAGAGTCAAGCAGTTAACAACACCGACCAAGCATTGAGTTCATAAACTTTCGTATCTGTTCTTGAGGTGGTCCCAGTGGCCGGACGGGGTTTGAGCCTGGTTCCTCCACTTCCCAGCCATGTGACACTGGGCACATCGCTTACACTCCGAGTCTGGCCTGTTTCCTTCCGGACTGCACGGCCCCGTTTGCACGGCCCCGTTTGCTCTCCAGTCGTAGCGTGGGAGCAGTGACGGCCACCTGGGCCGCGCCTGCGGGTGTCGCAGCGCCCTTCACCTGGCGCTGGAAAGGAAGGGTCAGAGCCTCTTTTTGCTTTATTATTAAAAGAAGGAAATAAGCTCACAAACAATTACTTTGATGCGATTTATTCCACTTTACTGTGTTCCAGCGTTTCAGTTGTCTATTGCTATGTAACGGACCACCGCCAAGTTGGTGACTTGAAGAGCGCTGTCTTATTATTTCTCATGGTTTCTGTGGTTTGGCTGGGCTGGGCTGGACAGGTTCTCTGCTGCACCTGGTTTCAGCTGTGTCTGGCGTGTCCAAAGTGGCTTCTCCATTCACACGTCTGGACCCCTGCTGGGAAGGCTGGACCCCCTGGGGCTGCCCAGGCACCGCTCTCTGCGTATGTGTGTACATATGATATATGTGTGCATGCCGTGTGTATGATGTATGTATGTGTGTCTTCTTTTGGATTCCCAGATGCGTGCCCCACTCCTGTAGGCAAACATTCTACTGTGCTTAATGTCTATCTTTTATTTGTGTGCATTCTCACAAACTGTGTATTATGCCTTTGTACCCATGCACGCTTAATTTACATAAATGGTGTTGTGTGATCGATTCGATTTTGCTTTTTACCTTTTCTGTTGATGCTGTGGATTTAGGCCTGTCCATGCCACTCTGTATTCTAGTTTGCTGCTTCGTGGCGTGCACCCACCCAGCATCGTCCCCCATTCTGCCGAGTCACCTGGCCGTTCTCCCGCTGCAGAGCCTCCCCTCCCTGCCTCTCCAATGTCACTGCTAGGAACATCCTCGGCAGATTTTGAGAGAATTTCTTTGGGCTCTATGAACAGGAGCAGAATGGCCAGCACACGGGGGTTGCGGGTCACAAATATGCCTGGGCAGTGCCAGAAGGCTGCTCTGACTAGACGCCGGTCCCTGCCCCTGCAGCAGTACCGCAGACAGACCTTCTCCTCCCAGCCAGTCCTGCTAACGCAAGAGGATGAAGACTCTGGCCCTGCTTGCAAGGCTCTTAGGACATTATTGTCCCCTGCACCCCTGACTGCCCTCTGGACTTTGGTTTTTTGGATTTGCCCTGGGCAGTCTGACCAAGTCCCTGGCAGCTCCAGGCCACATCCCCCTGCCTTGTCACTTTGTCTCCATTCACCCTCTCCTCTCCAGATAGGTGTTGATAGATCTGCATCATGGTAAATGCACCAGAGCAACTGGGAGCTGGATTTTATTCAAAGAGAGGAACTTGATGGCGATGAGATAATTTTACCTCCCTGACAGTGACCTAACAAATCTCAGTGTTTAGCCCAGCACTATCTGCAGAGATCGTACTGCAGCACATGCACGGGTTAGGAAGTGCTTTGTTTATCATTCACAGTGGCTCTGAGAAGGCAACCTCTGAGGGGGACACATGGAGTAAGCTATGTTACTGTGATGAAATGACACCATGCCAGCATAGAAGTCATGCAGCTTTGGGAATCTAGACCAGATCACCTGTTCTATACGCTTCATTCCACAGGCAAAGACACCGAGACCCAGAAAAATGGTCTTCCCAAGACTGCTGAGTAAATGAGAGGCCATGCTGGGACAGACCCCAAGGGCCCCTTTGTCCTGGCCCATCCTCCTTTCATACCCCTGCCCCAATTTCCTTTCCACCAGCCTATGCTGCAGGGACCCCAGATTCGCAGACAGTCCCCAACTTTGCTCCATGAGGTTGAACTTATTCCTTCCCCAGATTGGTTTTGAGAAATACTCAGAAATAGGAAACTGGCTTTACTGGTGATTTTCATTCCCTTTCCAATTCAGTATAGCAAACAATAAAATAAAACAAGAATGAATAAACTTAATAGGAAGGAGAAGATAATAATCAGAACTATTTCTCAACTGTGAAAAGCCAGTATGGAATAAAGGAATGATACTTCTTAAGAATTCTACAGGGGGTGTCCCCTCTGCTTTCTAGATGGAGAAACAGAGTCAGAGAGACACTCAGGGAGTAACTGAAGAAATATGACCAATTATTTAGAAAATATATCTAAAATTACAGAAACAGTTTCTTGTTATACTGTTCACAAAAGCCACTAAAGTAGGTTTTACTCCTTTATAAATGTCTCTTCCTTGTAACTCAAAGCAACAGCTTCTAAAAGTGTGTCTTTATTCTTTTATCCAGTGTGCCTTGAGAGTGATAACAGTAATAGTTTCAGAAATACCAAATAACATTCATGTAATACTCTGAAATTTGCAAATTTACTATAAGCATCCATGCTTGAGGAAATCTTAATTTGGGACAAGTGATTAGTCAGGTAGGATTGGGAGATAAGGGAGTCAGTTCTGGTCATAAGTAAGTATCTCATTGGACGTGTTTGAGGTCCTGCTCTTGGTAGAAATCTACCACCGCACCTTGCCATGCCCTGGAATGCCCCCAAAACTTCCTTTGCAAATTAGAACAGGTGGGGGCGGTGGGTCCTTCAGACTTTTTGCTAATTTGATCATCCAACCAATAGGAGAGATGTTAGAAAAGAACGAGGACTTTCTTTGTAATCCTGACTCACACCAAACACTAGTTTTGTGAACGGCTGGCCCAGAGAACCCCTTGAAGGGACCATAGCACATAAACCTATCAGCAGAGTTCCCAGGACCGTGCCAACAAGCCCGGTGCTAGTGAACATGTCCTTGGCCCTGGAAGTCCAGCTTTTGGCAGCTGCCACCTTAACCTATGCTGTGAGATCAAGGAGGTTTTTTCTTTTTAATTCATATACTGTGAATTTTACAGCCCAGTGATCTGGGTACACTCCCAAAGTTATGTGACCATCATCACTACCTAATTGCAGAACATTTTTATCATCTCAGAAAGAAACCTCGTGCCCATTAGCAGTCACTCTGAAGTCCCTCCCTTCTGCCCTCCAGCCCCTGGCAAACACTCATCTTTTGTGTTATGGAGTTTCCTCTTCTGGACATTTCATATACACAGAATCATGCCATATGAGGCCTTCTGTGTCTGGCCTCTTTCACCTAACATGTTTTCAAGGTTCATCCATGTTGTAGCAGGTGTGGGCACGCCATTCCTTTTTACGTCCGAGTAATATTCCACTGTATGGAGGTATCTCGTTGTGCTTATCCCTTCATCTGTTGGTGCATTTAGGGAGGATTTTGGTCCTAGTCTGAGCTGAACTTGAAACCTGTAGACAATGAGTATGTTTTTCCATTTCCCAATCAGGAGGCTAAGGTGACAAACTTAGTGTTTTAGGAAGGTTGCTGTGAAGACCAGGTTTGTGGCAAAGCAGAGATGGAGGATGATGAATTTGGAGCGTCAATGTACTAAATCGAAGAGGAAAGTCAAGGTCACCTAGGGAACCTGTGTGCAAGAAGCAAACCTCTCCCTCTCTCTCTCTCTCCCTCTCCCTCTCTCTCCACCCCACTCCCCTTCTCTGATTGGAAAGCCATAAGCCACAGGTTTAAAAGAGAAAAAGAGAAACTTATCTTGGGGGGGGAAGGTGAAAGCCTAGTGGTGGTTTCAACCTTGCCTCATATTTCTCTTGGCGGCTCTGCTGAAAGTCAGCCGGCCACACTCCTTCCTGGAACGTGCATCTCTGATAATTGCCTCTTGCACAATTATCTGCCAAGCCCTGTTGCTAATGAAATGAATGATTTAGTTATCCTTGTTAGTAATGGCCCACATTGCACAGAGACCCATTACTGCGTCCGTGAGGTTGGCAGGAATGCCAGCCAAGGCACCTGTGAGTGATTCTTACAATTAGCTCTCTTATCTCAGCTTGATTGGGGAGGGGAAGGCCGCCAGAGGCCACAGGGTGCCGCCTGTCCGTGGCTCAGTCCCGGCCATGCATCAAGAGCTGGGAGCATATAGGGGCAAAACAAGAAATGAGGCCAGACGGGGCTCCCTGTGTGCCAATTGTGACCCGCAAAGCCTGCGGCTGCTTCCTCCCAGCACGGGGAAGGACACCCTGAAGGACTGTGGTGACAGGCTTCATGTCAGGTTCACTTGGGTCCAGGGAGAAGTCCTGCTGGCTGGCAGATGGGGCGCCCAGCCCTCCCTGCCTCACCACTGCACGCTTCTCCCCTCCCTCTGCCCCACTGCAAAGAGAACATCTTTCTTTGCCTGCAGTGGCAGGTTTTTGCTTTTTCCCTCCTCTCTCCCCAGCAGTGCCTGTCAATACCGCTCATCTGTCTCCTGCCCGCCCCACCTTCCTCGATTGCTCATTCTTGCTGCTTTTCAAGGGAAAGGAAATAAACCGGGGCCAGGACAACAGACAGGAATGGGCATGGTGGGCAAGAGATCTGGGGGTGGTAAACAGAGATGTGAATACAGAAGGTTATTTGGAAAACACCGTGTTAAGGCCCCCCCCCCATACACGCTCTTGCACATACACGTTTTCTCCCCATCCTGCCTTCTGGAAGATTATATTCAGGAGTAAGTGCCCCGGGTTGGAAAACAGCCACCCAGTGTTGTGACCGAGACGTGTGCTTCAGCTTACGCGGACGAGACGGTGCTTAGCTAAGGGGCTCATGCCAGATTAGCAGGACCAAGTGTTCACCCGAGGCTTCCCAAGCCAGCTAATAGAGCCCGAGTAGGTACGGGGGACAGTGTGTGCACCGAGCTGGCTCCACCCCTTTGACTGGATGTGACTCCGGGAAAGCCACTTAATCCCCAGCAATAGATAGTAGACACTCAAAAATGCTTGTATACACACAGAGACAAAGTATCCATGACCAATTTTCCAGCTCGATCTCCACTATCTGTACTAGTCATGCTCAGTGTCTTACAAAAAGTAGTGGTGCTCTTCCATTCCAACAAAACCGTGTGCAAGCTTAGAGAGAGAGGAGGACTTCTTTGGGTGGGGCGGGTGGGGGGTGGCTAACCATTTTCTTAGGGCCTCTCTTTCCCCACACGGAGACTGCTGAGACAGCTTTGCTAAGAATCCCAATGGTCTGAAAACCCCTAGGTTCACCTATGACAACGGATGGACATCAGGAAAAAGAAAGGGGAAGGAGGGAGGGAGGGAACAAAGGAAAGGAGGAAGGGAGGAAGAAAGGACGGGAGGAAAGAAGGTTGGTTTTTATTGCTACTCGTACAAGATTATTGTGAGAACCAGCAGGAAAATCTATGTTTTGAATCTAATAAATTGGGGCTTCCTCTTCTTGTTCATCAAGACCACTCTTTCGTCCTTTTCGTCCCAATGAAACAAGCCATGGCACACAGGAGACTGCGGAGACGGCACGTGCGCTTGCTAAGCGGGTGGGCTGCGGCCCAGACTGCGCGGGTGTGGGTCCTAGCCCTGCCACCGTGAGCTGTGTGACTGGGCAAGGTGCCTAGCCTCGCGGTGCCTCGGTTTCCTCATCAGTAAAAGTGGCTGTCGGCAGTGCCCACCCCACAAGGGTGCCATGAGGATGAAAGGCGTTGGCGTGTACATGGTGTTCACAGCGGTGCTTGGCACACGGTCACAGCCTGATAGGCGTTAGCTGTTGTGTGTGTGTGTGTGAGCGTGCCCCTCCTTGCAATGACGATTTTCACTTACACAATTTCCATCCAGACCTCTGTCCTCAGGTGGAGTGTCCTGTCTCCCCTCAGGGACCCAGGGGTGACTTAGCTCACCCAGAAGTGGGACAGATGGCTGAGGATTTCCCTGCAGGCTGCAGCCACGGTTCTGTGAGGGAGGGAAAGGGGCTTGATGTCTTTGATTGTTTTGCCTGGGGCAGAAGGAACCTATGGTGGCATATAGTCACATCTTATTTTGCAGTTGTGGGATGTATAGTCAAACTTGCCCTAATCTACATGCTCTATAAGCCCAAGGGGCATGTAATGGGGGTGGGGGCAGCAGGTGGTTAAACGTCCGAGCTCTGGGAAAGGACACTCAGCTGGGATGCATCTTGCCTAAAATTCATAGACCCATTCTCTTGATCTGACCTGCTCCTGGGGTAAGGTCCTGTGGAGATGGTTTCCCAAGGGTCCCCCAAACACTTGTAAGGTGCTGTCTACATGTAGGGGGTCGATATCGTGAAGACCCAAGGGGAGAGTTGCCAGCAGGGTGAGGGCCGAAACCTTGACCTAGATGGTTTATATTAAGACCTTCCTGACACTCACCGCTAGGGTTTTCCTGATGCATCAGCCTGCTAAGTGTAGGGAGTGGCCGTGTCCGTTGGGGAATTTGCGATCTAGGAAGACCAAACTCGCAGGCTGGACTCCATGGTAGAGGCAGTGCCAGTCCTAGGGGGTGGAGGGAAGAGGATGGGAGGCTTCGTGGCAGTGGAGGGGCTTCAGCCAAGCAGGGAGGGTGGTTGGGTTTGAGCAGGCAGTGGAGAGGGGAGCAGGGACATGCGAGAGAAGAGGACGAGGGCGTGAACATGCCAGGGAAGGAGAGGAGACCAGGCTGACAGAAGGGCTAGAAGCAGCATGTTGATTTTGCATGGGGAGCATCAGCTGGAGTGAGGACGGCCTGGAAGCCCCTGTGGAATAATTTCTACCTGATTCTGTGGGAAATGGCGTTTGGCAGCATGGGGCCTGGGGTGGGGCATCAGGACTTGTCTTCTCTCCGGAACCGGCTGGCAGCCCTCCCGGAGTCAAGGGCGGGCAGAGCGAGGGTCTGTAGCACACGCAAACAAACGGGCATCACGTAACCGTGCGTCCGCCGTCAACCGCGTTCTTACTCTCTTAATCCTTTGGCCGCAAGAATGGATAATCATCGGCTTACGTAGACATGATTTTTGACAAGCCCTCAAAAAACCACAGTGTTAACTTGTCAGATGGAGAATCTGAGGCATTGTACTGTAAAGGGCCCATTCTAGGAGCTGTGGAATCACCGTGGAGTAAGAGGCAGAGTGCCGACCACTGGGCCCCTCCTTCAGTGACCTGGCTTCTCAGCTTAGTCCTTCTCCCCATATCTTTTAACAAGGGGAATCGCTTCTCGTTAGCACAAGCTGGTGGAGGTGGGCGGGAGGAAGAGGCTGCCTGGATCTCCTTGGCCTGTTGGTGAGCAGTTAGCTGATTAAGAAAGATACATGCCTAATCTTTAGCCATGTGGGAGGAGGAATGAGGGCAGGGGCAGACTTGGACCTGAGACAGAGGAGGGGCAGCCCTGGTGGAAGCACGAGACGCTTCCCCGGTGGGGTGGCCTTTGCCAGGAAGGAAGGCCGTGGGCCATGGGCCGTGGGGACGCTCAGAGGACGTGGGTGGTCTCCTCCTCCTGGGTGCTGCCCACCCCTGAGTTTCTCCCCAGCCCTCTTTGGGGCCGTTGCCATCATCCTTTGCCCTCCAAGTGCCCTCTTCCACCCCAGCTGCCTCTTGTTCGCTTTCTCCCTTGGGCCTGAGAACCGATGGCAGGGTGCCCAGCCCTGCATGCCTGGCACGGACGGCAGCCTCAGTTCCTGGTGTGTGTGTGTGCGTGTGCGTGTGTACGTGTGTGTAGGGGCTGGGGCCAACGGTGGATCAGAGCACAGGAGTAGAGAGCTTCTGGGAGGGGGCCACCCAGGAGTCACGCCCTACACCCTGGAGCCCAGAGGACCCTTCGCTGGACCCACGACTGCCGGCAACACCTGAGCAGCCAGAGCAGCTTCAGTCTCTGACCAGAGGAGCCTGGGAGGAGCCGCAGGAGTAAGTCATGCTGGAGGAAGGGCCGGGCTGGGCTCCAGGGATGCCCAGGGGCAGTGGGTGCTGCAGAGCCAGAGAGGAGGGAGATGAGAGGTCTTTGTGCCCCTCTGCCCTCCCACCCTTGTGTGTGCACAACATCCACATCCCTTTCCTTGCACCCTGGACCTGGAGGGCGCTGCCGCAGGCTGGACTCCAGGCAGAGCCACAGAGGTGGGAGGATTGGTCCGGGGTTCCTGCCAGTGGGGTCTCCCCACAGGTACACGGCGTGTGGCTGTCTGATGTTGGGGGCAGGCGTGGCAGGGTGGTCCTGTGGGGGCACCCAGGAGCCCAGGCGTCATAGACCCTCAGCCCACCATGCTGTCGGGTGGGGAAGGGAGAAGAGTAGGTGGAGGGGGGAGGTTTGGACAAGATGCAAATCCTGTTTCCACTTACAGGTACTCACGGCGGTGGGCCAGGACTCTGGAAAAGCTCTGCAGTCGATACACTTGGCCTTAGAAAACGGAAGTAGGAGATGGGGTCGTATGGTGGGAGCCTCCTTTTGTATACTCAGTCCAGCCTGAATGTCAGACATTTGGGGTCAAGAGCTGGATGAACAAGGCCTTGGGCCCAGCTGTCACCTCCCGTTCCCCTGTCTGGACCTGAGGGCGGATCCTGGCTCCTGGTGCACTTCTCCTTCTCCTCCTCGTCTTCTGTCTCCTCCTGGTGGTGGCTGTCCTCCCTTCATGTCCTGGCAGGAAGCTCTGGGGCTGGCAGGACTCCTGGCTGCCCACAACCTGGGCCTGGTGGTTCTCTCAGGTACATATTCTATGAGGTAAGGCTGCTGGGGGCCCTAGAGACTTCTAGGGTCTCTTTTTTCAGAGTGGGGGAATTGCCCAGGGTAAATAGAATCATGCTCTTCCTACGTAGAAAGGAGAACCCATGATGGGGGCGTGTGCGGGAGGGGCTCTGTCCCATCTCGGGCTGCCTGCCTCCAGCACCAGGTCCATCTGCCTCTCCTGTGGTGGCAGAGTGCAGGTCAGCGGAAAGCAAGAGTGTAGTTCAGTACCCCCACACCTAAGGGGAACCCCCAACTCTTGTTTCTACCTGGGCTCTGTTAGACTCTGCCCAGTTTTCTGAGCCCCAAACCCAGGTTCCTTTCAGACGCCTTGCAGTTGGTCACGTTCTGTGCCCACGTGCCATGCCTTGTGCCAGGCTGAGCTGGGGCCTGCCGAGTCGCTGCTGAGTAAGGTGCACCTGCCCTCCAGGGGCGCAGGGTCTGGGAAGGGGACCGATGTGGTGCAGGGTGAGCAGGCAGCACGCCCTGGGGCAGGCAGGCGGTGCAGCAGCCTGGTCCCTGGGCCAGGGGCTGGGGTGTCAGGAAACGCTTTCCAGAGAAGGTAGGAGTACTCATCACTGACATCCCCCCAGCACGCCGAGCTTATTATGGGCAATGTCCTACTCCGAGCGCTTTATGAGGGTCAGCTCACCTAATCCTCAGGACACACTCTTTGAGGCCTAGGGGGGTTAAGTAACTTGGCAGGTGGCAGGGGCAGATGCTGAACTCACACCGGGCACTGTGGCTGGCATCCTCCACCTCCATACTCGCCCGGCCCCTGGGGAGCTAGCAGGGAGCGGACTGTTGTCCAACCGGGAGAAGCAGGTCCTGGCGGCCATGCCTCTTCCCCCTCCTCTCCCTCTCTTCCTTTGCCACTGCTCACCTTCACCCCATCCTCCATGCCAGGACAGAATGAGCCACCCAAATGCCAGAGGACCTTTGGAAGGATCCTAGCACTGCCTGCTGGAGATCCCCTGACGGCTTCCCACAAACTGCCCTGTGGGGCACGGAAGCCCTCGGCAGTCCCCTCTGGCCCCTGCCTTCCTCTCCAGCCTCATCTTCCCGAACACTGGCCTTGACCAACGCGGCCGCTCACCGGACTCCACACGCCATCCTTGGGGGTCCCCGGGCCTTGGCTGGTAACTGATTTTCTGCCAAAAAGGCTCTTGTCTTCTGGTCTTTTGACAAATCCCTGCACATCCTCTAGATTTGGGTCAGCTGTTGCCTCCTGGGAAGACTTCCCTGACCCTCTCAGGGTCAGGTATTTGCTTTGTTCCTTAGGTTTCCCAGGTCTTGGAACAGACTCCTACTCTATACCCCGCTCCACCCGCTGGTGGGCGCTGGGTGTGCGTCTCTTCCCAGCTCCATGCTCAGTGACTTTCCGTGAAGCATTAATAGCTTGAAGTCCATCACAGCGGGAGTGTTTGCACCATGGAAATTGGCCAACCCTACAAACCAGCTGTCCCACCTTAAGAGCCTGTTAAGCATGCACAGACGCCCCCACTGTGTCTTTCTCCTGCTGCTTCACGGTTTGCATGTCTGCCTGTCTCCTCTCCCAAGCCGCAGTGCTTCAAAGGCAGGTCCTGGTTTTACTTATCTTTTTCTAAAGACAGGCCCAGCATAATGTCTGTGGACATTGGAGATACCAATAACTTGTGAGACATGCCCTAGACTTGTCATTTAATCATGGTGACAAGGCACTTTGCTGCCCCCTGTTCCTTTGAAAACTCTGCCATGCCAGGCCAGCTTCCTGCTCAGAAGCCGTCAGGAGCTGCCTTTACCTATGGGACCAGAATGCAAAGTCCCCCGAGGTAGGCATTTTCATCTGTTTTATCAGTGTGACTCAGTGCTCAACATGGAGATGTGCTTAGTGCCACCTAACATGTTATTGACAAATGTATGGATGATAACATTAAATCTCCTTATGACAGCCTTCAAGACCCTTTATTAATAATTCTCCTCTCTCTCTCGGCTTCTGTGGCCTGCTTCCCTCATGGTTGGAACCTCCCTCCAGTCCCACGGCTCCCACGAGTTAGGTCCTGTGCAGGCACCACACACTCTTGTCCGGGCATGACATTGTCCCTCCCTCCCCTCTTTTGCATAAGGCCTCCTCATTCTTCAGCCCTGGCTTCTGCAACACCTGCTGCCTCCTGCTCTTCCTCTGGCACGAGCCTTAAAGGTTAGAATTGTTTCCTACAGCCTCAGGCTATGAGATTTGAGGGTTTGAGCTCCTTGGGGCGGGGCTGACATACCGACAGCTTTGGTCCCCTCGGAACCCCTCCATACCTACCTTATAGTCTCATACGCAGCAGGCACCCAGTGTGGGTTTGTGATCTGTGTTCAGCCATATTTTTTTAAAAATTAGAGACCGGCAAGATGTATGCAAGTCTCAGCCTCTGGTCGAGCCACTCCATGGAGTTGATTTTGTTAGCAGACATCCCCCAAGTGTCAGTGGAGGTTGCAGCGGGACGGGTGTCCAGGGCATGACAAGGCGGTGTTAGCTGCCTGGCTCTAATATCCTTTTCTCTTTCCTTCCAGTCCACGGCCCCCTTGTTCCTGGCTGACTGCAGTACTGCTGCCCACCGGTGGACTACAGCCGGAGCAGCTCGGTGTGAGGGCGCGGCAGGGAGTGGGAGTGAAGCCTGGAGGACAGGGTGGAGAGGGAGCCTGGCCTGCGGCTCCAGAGCCATCTGAGCCTTCTGCTGGGGCACGGAGGTTAATGCAGGCTTTGGAATCAGGTGACCTCAGACCTCAGTTTGGATCTCCACCCTGCCAGTTGCTTGCTGTGTGACTGTGGAAGGCATACTTACCTTTTCTGGGCCTCAACTTTCTTATCTATAAAATGGCATAATAATAATACCTACTTTATAGAAGGAAATAATCAAAAGAAAATGGGATTAGACAATGTATGAACGTGTTTAGCACAGGGGCGGCATGCACCATTTCGTTGTTGTTAGCTGTTCTCTGTTTCCACTGGAAGCAGAACAGAAGACTTCCCTGTGGTTAAGACCACGCGGCTGAGGCTGGGCAGGTCACGGGTGGTGAGGCGAAGTTGGGTCACTGGATGTTGGCAATGGGCTAAAGCCCTTCCGCTCAGAGTATGATGCACAGGCGGGAACATCAGCACCACCGGCAGCTTGTTGGAAATGCGGAATCCTGCACTCCACCCCGGGCACACTGATTAAGAATCTGCTCTTCAAAGAACAAGATCCCCACTTGCTCATTAGATTACAAGGCTCCGGCTGGGGCACTTCGGGACAGTACTTCTGTGGTCACTCCAGTAGCTTCTCCCCATCTTTCCGATGCCACCAGGCCCTGTCTGCAGCCAGGTAGGCACCGTGGGCCCAGGCGGTGCATAGAACAGCGAGGACCGGGCAAGGCAAGCTGTGCCACCAGCAGGACCGCAGTGTGACGGAACTTCCCCTTCCTGCCCAGCAGATGGCGAGCGCGTGCCAGCGGTGCTTCTCAAAGGCTGTTGACTTGCGGGCGCGGTGGGATCCTCCACCAGCGCGCTCCCGTGTGGAGTCATGGAGTCGTATCTGCCAGCCAGGCCTGGGTGGGTGTCCCGTGCGCCAGTGACAACGCGTCCCTCTAGCACCCTGTCGGACGTTCTCCGGGGTTGCCTGGGCGGCCGCGCCTGACACTGATGTCAGAGGACAGCCTCGGCCCGGGGCCTGGCTGAGGAAGGTGCTCACGGGAGAGGGAGCACCCCCTGCCGCAGGCTCCGCGGGCCCTCTCTTCACCCCTGCACCGGATGAAAGTAGGCGCTTGACCCACGAGCCGCCGGGTTCCAGGTTAAGTGGAAATGGAAAACCCAACACATCTTACGGCTGATAGAATATCATCATCAGATGGCAGAAGCCACCGTCACACACCAGCAAGGAGACGGAGCCTGCTTGTGAGTCCGAGGACTGCAGGATGGAGTGCAGGGCCTGGTGTCGGGGTGGTGATGAAAGGAGGGGCTCTTTCTTACCAGTCTCCCGCCAACATGGAGTCCGAGCAGAGAACATTCCGGGATTTGTCGTGAGAGTCTGGGTTCTGCGCTGGGAGTTCAACACCCGAGTTCCCTCCCCGGTGCCCTGGAGGGCAGGACAGGATATTGGAAGGAGCCTACCAGTTGTGTGTCTTTGGACAAGTAACTTAACCTTTCTGTGCCTCGATTTCCCTATCTCTAAAATGGAGGTAATGGGAGTATGAATTGCACACTATTATGTAGAGTTTAAATGATTATTTCGTTATTTAGCCCATAGTAGGTGCTAAACAGGTGTTTGTTGTTATTTCCCTTTAGTTTTAGTCTGTCCTTCAGCAGAACAGGCAGAAGCACCTGTCCAACTCCAAGGGGCAGTTGAGGCCCCAGGAGAAGAGTCCAGAGAAAGAAGTCCCCGAGCTGACCCCATCTCTCCTTCCTCTCCAGGTCTTCTTCATACTGCAACAGAAGCCAGAGCAGCTCACCTTCCTGCATGTCTACTACCGTGGCCCTGGGCCCTTCACCTGGCGGGCTAGAGTCAGATATGTACGAGGTAAGTGACAAGTGCTGTGGGTGACCCTGCCCTGGCCCTTGTGAGGCGGGTCTGCTGGGCTGCCTCCCGTCTTGGGAGACGTGCATCCCTGTGATATCACAGCTTGTCTTCAAGTGTCCTATTCCCTGAAGCCATGCATTGGCCTCTGTTCCCGTCTTGTCTCTGTGGCTCCTTGGAGCTTCCTGGCTACCCCTCCCCAGGGTTGGGTGGGTAGCTGCTACGTGATGCTCATAGCCATCAGCCCAGAGAGTGCAGAGGGAGTTATAAACGCTCTCGTTTTGCACCCTGTTAACTCCAGCCCTCCCTCACGGCTGCGGGGGCTCATGCCACACGCCCACAGGATAGGATCTTTCCAAGGATTCTCTCTGTAGGGTTACAGAGGTGCTATTTGCAGTCTGGAGGGTGAAACATGAAAGAAAAACCCAAACCACAGCGAGTGCAGCTATGGAGCCTTCTTCATCGGAATGCTTAACTCCTTGGTCCATGTCTTCATGCACCTGTCCTGTGGCCTGGCCAGTTTGGGGCCATGCTTGCATCCCTACCTATGGTGGAAGTGACATCCTACAGCTGCCAGGGAGACCCCGTTGGTTCCAGGGTTCTATTGTTGGCTACACCAGTGACAGGTATTTGACTGCAAACAAGCCCTTCTCCTCCCTGGACCTTCCTTAATTTCCCAACTCACAATGGTCTCAGCAGTCACCTTGTCAGACCTGGAACCAGCCCTAACTCACTGACACAGGTGGGACTTTGAGCCTCAGCCGTATCATCTGTAAGATGAGGGGCTGGGCTAATGACCTCTAAGCACTGATGTCCCGAGAGTCTGCAGTCACAGATCGCACCCTCCAGGTGCCTGAGTGTCCCGTGGTTTGGGAAACACCATTGCCGGATGGTGGTGACAGCCTGAGCTGTCCTTCCTGGGGCCTGGAGCAGAGTGAGTGCCATGGTGACATGGCTGGGGGGGGGGAGGCCACCCCTGTGGGAGACTGCGGGCTTAGGAGGAGAGGGCCCAGGGAGCCCCGCTTCTGACTGCTCTCCCTCTCTTCTCTCCCACACTTTCCTCAGCCCAGGGTCAGTTTGTGGCCATTGCAGTGACTCCTACAGTCTCTTCCCCATGGGCTCAGTGTGGCCGTCCTCCTCAGCACCCTCAGCCTCCTCACTCTTCGTCTCAACTTCCACCAGCAGATGCCCCTGGGGGCAAGTGCGAGAAGCTGCGAGAAGGAGCAGGACCCAGGACGGAAGCTAGAGAGCTGTCCCACAGGGAGCTGTCCTGAAGACAGTGTGGCTCCCAGCCTGCGAGAGCCTCCCGCCGCCTCTGGGCCTCCACTGCGCCCTGTGAAGCAGGGAGGATTTAGAGTCGCCTGCTTTGCAGAGTTCAGCCGGGAAGCAGCGGAGCCCGCTTCCGGCACTCGCGTCTGCTAGCGCGCGCCACGTTCCCCACACCGGGCGCAGTGCCTCAACTGTGCGTGTGGGTCCCTGGAGCCCACGGCTGGGGGTCGTGACCTCTGGCGACAAACAGGGCTGGGAAGAGGTCCAGGCTGGCTTGATCTCCAACCTTACAGTGAGAAGCCGTGGCTGAGGATGTCCAAGAGTGAGCGTGGGTCTGCTCGGCTTGAGTGTGGCTGTGTGAATAGCTCCCCTGCGTAAATGTATTTTTGTCTGTTTACCGCTGCCCGCGTGTGTTTATAGAGTTGTGTGATTCCGTGTGCGCATGGGGGGAGACGGAGAGGCCACGTGCACATGTCTGAATACTTGTTTTCAAATACACACACGTTTCCATGGGGCTTCTTGCTGTTTGTGTTGTTTGCTTGTCTCTTCTGTAAGTGCCACACTGGCAAATGCATAATTCTCCTGTTCCAGTGGGAGCCAGAGAAGTCCACTGAGAAATCTCCGAATACATGGTCTACTGAAAGCTTCAAAAGAGAAATGGGTAAAGAGGTAAAAAGGGAGAATGGGGTGCAGCCATCCTCTCCGCAGAGAGGGCAGCGAAGGGATGTCTGACGGAGGTCACTTCGTGTGGCAGAAGCCAACGTGGGCTGAGCAAGCAGCTCGCCGGGAGCTGTCCCCAGGCCTCCTGCGCGGCCTTTCCCCGTTATGCCCCGAGCCCCGCCCAGCTGTTTTGATCCCTCGGTAAGTTCTTGTGCGATGCCTCCACAGCGAAGAGAATTAAAGAACCACTGAGGGCTTCCCGGTGCTATTTGGAGACTGTTTCCCCATCCGCACTCCAGTTAATCATCTCAAGGCCACTCAGGGCTGCATCCTGTGGACGGAAAACTCGGAGAAAATTCCCCCAAAATAACACAGGATGTGAGCACATCTCACACACTTTTCCACGTACGGGTTGAGTGACTTTGGGGGGCGGTGCCTTCTTAAGGCAAACTTTTGTATTTTTTTTAATTTTTTTATTTTTTATTTTTTATTTTTTTGCAGCTGGTCAGTGGTTGTCATGTATGTTTTTTAAATACATAGGAGTAAGGTCTGTTCATTTGCTTAGCAGCCAGGATAAGGGGGGAATTAGCTCAGAGCTAATATTTGTCCAGTTTTTTGTGGCTGCTTGTGCCTGTGCTGCACAAAGGGAAGTGGTACGTCCCGGTCACTCTAAGTGAAACGCGAGTTAGGCTGGGGAGCCTGGGGTAAGGCGATGCACCTGAGAGGGTCTGGGGGAACATTCTCAGCAGGCTGGGGGCCCCTTGTTTCCTGTCCTATGGTGTGGTGCCTCTAGCTCAGGAGTGCTTTTTAAATATTATTAATATTTATCAGCATAGGATGGTTGTGTGACTATTATGAAACAAAGCTGTTTGGATTTGGCAAAACAGCCTGATTCTCAGCTAAAAATTGTAGAAGTTTGTCTCCATGAGCTGTTTAAGATAATGATAAGGAAAGGTGCTGGTTAGATTTTTAAATATATACCATGGTAGGGCTGAGCTATGGCTCATTTGCCAAGACAGGGAGGGCCAGAGTACCAGGTGGGAGGGTCCCAGAGTTGGACATGGCGGGCAGCACCCACATCCTGTCTTCCTGGACCCTTGTACAGAGGTCCAACAGCCAATGATTTGGGCTCCTGGCTTTCACTTCCTAAATCAGAGTACTTCGAACTAATGGAAGGAGAGTCCCCCCAGTGGTCTTCATGGTCCCCTTCCAGATCAGCCTTCTGAGGACCCTCCTCCTCCCGGCCGCACGCACACACACTCCACCATCCACTCCGGAACCACCTACCCTAAGAGCTGCCCACTGACCAGTCTTTGAGCCAGGAGTCAGAAGGAAGGGTTATTTGTCTCTTTCCTCACCCTCCCTTTCTCTCTTTCTTGAAGTCCTGTGCATAAATGCAGGGACCTCTTTCTAAAGAAGGGAGTCACTGCCTTTTGTCCTTGGTCCCAGGGTAGTCTTTGAGAAAAATGTCTGTTATGAAGGAAATGCATAATTTGAATCAGAGCTTTTGACATTCAAACCCTCACAATCAGGATCTAAGGTCTCCTGTGTGTGAAAGCTTCAGGTGTCAGCGGGGTGCTGGGCAGGGATGTATGGAGGAGGGAATAGAATACCTAAGAAATAAAAGACCCTGACTTCAAGGATCTTGTATTTTAGCAGGGGTAGGGAGGACAGGGACTCATGAATCAAATAAGGGAACATTTATTTTTAAAAGATCATACAGAGCCATTATAAAGTTGGAGACCCACTGGCTGGGGAGGCAGCTCTGGATTCGCAGAACATCTGAGTTCAGATTCTACCTGTATCCTCCTCCTGGCAGGGGGAGGGCACTGGGCAGTTCATATCACCCTTTAGTGCCTTTTGTGCATGGAATTCAGCACAGAAGCTGCTTTCAGATATAACAAATATATTTGATAGAGTAATAACCCATAGTCATTATAAACCCTTCTTTTAAGAATGCATAATAATTTAGCAATGCAATGTTAAAAATGTAGGAAAATTCCAACTTTGAAAAGAATTACACATAAATATAAACACAAAAATGTTAAGAATGACTATCTCTAGAGGGTAAAATTATGCATGTTTTTATTTTCTTTGCATTTTCCTGTGTTCTGCAACGCATATTCTTTTTTAATCATGAAAATTTAATATTGTAATGTGATCAATTCAGGATACGTAGGTTATTCTTTATTCTGAGGATTATTAAAATATTTATTTGATCTGCTTATCAGCTCTTCATTATTGACATAGATGCGTACTTGACCCCATGTTGCTATCTGATTCATTCAACACACAAACATTGAGAGCGTGCTATGCCCTAGGCACTGACCATGATCTTCGGGACCCAGACACGAAAACCAGACTTGATTTCTATTGTAAGGACCATGGAAATGCTTAAAAAGTCAAGCTTGTAGCCATGTCTACTGCTCCAGGGAAAGGTAGAAAGCCAGTCATGTCCAACTGTGGGAGTGAAAGAGGACTTTGAACAGAGACTTAAACAAGTGTCAAAATGTGGAAATGAGGGTTGTTCCCACATCTGCCTGAATCTGGTCTTCCTTGGCCACTCCACTGCTTGGCTCGAAGTTTAGCTCCCAGGAAATCAGAAGCATGGCATCCAGGCGTAAGTCTGAAACCCTTTCTTAAGAGCCAATGAAATGTTACACATTTAAAAAATTATCCACACCTAAGAACTAACTTTTGCACAGACCGTGGACTCATTTTGGGTTAATAGAAAGGGTTTCTTGGAGTAAGAATCTAAAGTGTGTCAATGAAGAAATTATCCCATGACATGTTACTTGTTAAAGCAAGGTGAAGACAACTTTATTAAGGCCCATGGAGATAGGCATAGGGACCACTGCAAAGGGGTCTGGCAGAAGGGGACAGAGGTTGGGCTCAACTCTGAATGCAGCAGGAGCAAGTGGGGATTTATGGCCAAGGAGCAGGGTGGGGGTCACTGCATGGAAAATGACTAAGAGGAAATGTTGGAGTAAGGGGGATTCTGGCTGAACTGACCTAACAGGGCTCTTGCTGAAGACAGGCCAGGTGATCAGACATCACCGGGGGGTGATAGAGGATGAGGAACCAGTCAGATACGTGATAGAAGATGATCAGACACCAAGGATGGGGGATACTTTGCTACAACTGAATTTTATGAGGAAGTACACAAATGGACCTAGGAGAATTTTCAGAAGCCGGGCTAAAGTTTGGCCAAGCAAGGAACCTTTGTTGAGGGAGGTGTGACTACAGTCTTCACATCTGTAACAACAATCCATTGATAGTGGAGAGTCGTAACAACCTTGAAACTGCAACTCTGTCAAGTTTGAGATGACCTTAATATCTGAAAACGCTTATTTGAGAAAGGAAGAAAATGCCTCCATAAGTGAACAGAGACTTGCCCGGAATCATCACAGTGACAGAGCAAGGCGGGGGCCTTGGCTTCTGGGCTGTCTAGCCAGGGCGCTGTGTCCTCCCGGCCTGGGCCAGGAGGAGGAGAATTTCTTCTCCCTCGGTGGGTTAGAGATCCCAGATCTGCATCCTGGCTTGTAATGTGGCGGATCCTACTGAGAAAATTGACATTAGGCTTTTGTATGCCACGATCTACCACTGCCTGTGCTTCCACACCTGGAGTGCTCCTGTGGTGTTTACATTTACCATGTAGCCCTCTGATTGCAGAATATCAATATGGGATCAGGACAAGAAGAGGGGAAAAAGGAAAAAAGACACAGAGGAAAAAAGATTAAAAATAGCCTACTTTTAAAAGGAAGATGAAAACCAAGCCCGTCAGCATTCAGATTCTCAGGGAGCCAGGGAGGAAACAGGTGCGCCTTTCAGAGCTCAGGCGCTCCGTCTGAAGACAGCGCCCCCAGCTGCTCGGAGCCAGTTCCTCTAACTAATTCCTCATTTACACACCTCCTGGCACTTCTGCTCCTCTCACAGCTAGCTTCTATAACTGGCCATAAGGTCAGAGGTGGCATTTACTACTTCTTCCTCTACTTTAGTGTGAATTCCTATGCCTTTTAGGCCTGGCCACAGATAGCCAGGATGCTGAGCATAGTGGAGAAACACACTTCCTACATACTCCCTAAAAGAAGAAAACAAAACAAACACAAAAAAGCCCAAGCCCCAAATCTGTTCCACTCTAATGAGGCCCGTGAATGTGTCTGAGCAGAACCTCGGTCTGCACTCCACACGGCTGCCTTCCAAGAGCCCTGCAGGGGTTGAATGTGGCATAAAATAGAAGCAACATTGAATCATAAAAAATTATGTTTTTTATACTAGAGTTGTGAACTTGGTGGCTTGTAAAACTGTGAACTCACTGTAAGGGGCTCATCTAGGGTTTCAAACAATCAAGTCAGCTAGGCTGAAATGTTTTTCGGAATTCCTTCCCCTACAAACGTGCAGGGGAACACCCACCTGGAGTGAGGGATAAGAGACATTTTTGCTCAAGATTTGAAGAGTAGGGGTGAAGCAGCAACCACATTACTTTCACTCTCAGTAGGTTGGGGCAGGTGCTTCTGTGGCTCACGCACATTGCCCCTCCCCCTCCCGCCCTGTCTGTCAACTCATGTGCTTGGCGTGGGCAGCTGGCATGCCTGCAAGTGTTCCAGCCTCCCTGGCATCCTTCTCCAGTTCCTCTGACTTTTGGGTCAGGTATGTGTCTGGCTCCATGACAGCCGGCACCGGCTTCTCCTGTGGGACAGGCACATCACAAGACTGGGGCAGTGAGAACTATACAGGCTCCCTTCTGTGCTGTGGGTTCCGGCTTGTGTTTGCTGTCTCCCACTTATACCCATCTCCCCTTCCCAAATGCCTTCTTTGGTGCCCTCGAGCTCCACCATCAGACATGAAGCAACACACAGCCTTGCAGAGACTGCTCAACCAGCTCCCGTAATTGCATGGGGTCACGTCCCTGGAACAAATTCCTTCTGACACAACCTCCTGGAGCTTCTGCTTCTCTGACTGAACCCTGACTCTGATTGCATCTCCTGCCACCGATGCCAGCTCCACAAACGCACTGCAAACCCTGGGATCAAGACAGACAGGAACCTGCTGCACTCCAGCGTGGGCACCATGGCAATACTGCATCTCTGAAGGGAAAAACGGAGAGAAGTCATCCTAAGGCATTGTCTGCGCTCTGCGTGAGAAGTGGGTGCTTAGAGGAGGTAACAAAGGTTACTTCGTTTTCCCGATTCTTCCTACTCAGCAGACTGATGATGATCATGATGACATGATGACAGTAAACCACCCCCAATCCAGTGCCGGCTGAATCCCAGCTACTTTTCACATATCACCACTCCTGGTGCTAACCCTGTGAGCTAGATATCACATCCCCTGTTACCAATGAAAGAAGGGAGGCTCAGAGAGGTTGATCCACTTGCTCGAGGTCACACAGAGCATGCCATGGTGGTGCCATGGGATTTACACCCAGGCTTGTCTTACTCCAAAGCCTGTGATCATTCCCTCTGCCTCAGTGCTCAGCCACCACCGTGCCCTAACTCACAGGAAATTCCTTGTCCTTTGGCTGCCTCTAATCATAGCCTTTCCACAGAGGAATGTGCTGGGCTCTCTTCCTGGCATGAACTGCACATCATCTTTAAAAATTTCATTTATTACCAAACACTTACATAGTGCCTGCTGTGTGCCAGACACTGGTCTAAGCAGCTGACAAATATTAAGTCATTTAGTCTTTATAATGACTCTGATATGTTACTGTTATTAATACAATAATAATACTATCATTGCTCCCATTTTACAGACGAGGTAACGAAGGCACAGGGAAGTTAGGGGACTTGCAAAGTTGCACAGCCAGCATGTTTTGCGTGCCAGGTGTCACACGCACCACCACGCAGCGCTGCCCTCCTTCCTCCGGAGATCTGGACTTCGCGTCCGCCCGTCTCCTCTCGCCTGCAGGTGCTGGGGGTGATGGGTCGAGGGGTCGGAGTCCCCCTGAGGAAGGTCCTGAACCGCTCAGGTCTGCACAAACTTCCCTCACGAGGTGGGAGCTGGCGTGGCCCAGCTGTAGCTCCAGGCGGCAACCACCGGTTCTGTCTGGAAAAACAAGCCTTTCTTTATCTCCAGTGCTCACAAAGCGCTAATGGCCTCCACAAAGGCTCCTTCTTTTGCGATTGAAAATCTCTGAACCCCCACTCCCAAGCCTGGGTGGTGGCCGTGCGTTCCTCTCAGCAGCTTCCTGCTGACCTCACTCCCCACGCAGGTGCAAGGATGCACGCGGGAGGGAGGGCCGGCAGGGGGCGCTGTCTGCGCTGAGTAAACCTCCAGGCTGCCCCAAGCGGGGAGCCGCAGGCCACCCGGTCTGAAATTTCTGCCTCTGGGAGTCACCTGGTTTTGACAAGGTGTGGTACAGCCCACCCGTCAGAGCTTCCGGTGTGCTCACGAGCAGCGGCCTGGGAACTCTTCTGTCACTCGTGTCTCGTCCCTGGCTTCTCTCCAACCGGCCTTGACAGGGACAGGACTTCGCCAAGGGAGGATGGGCGAGGGCGTGGAAAGTGAGCATGGGAGCCCCACTGAAAGCCTCCTCTGCTGTCCAGTCCGCAGAGGAGACACCTGGGGACAGCAGAGCATAACAAACAGGTCCCAGGGCGCTGTCATTCACTACTGAGAAAAACCTTCCGCAATGTGCTTACCGCCGTTCTGTATCTATACAGAACTCCCCGCTTCTGCATCTATAAGCCAGGGTTAGTAATAGCACCTGCCCCTTGGGGTGTGTTGCAGGGTTAGATGTCATAGTGCGTAAAAGGCATAGTTCAAGGCCGAGCACATAATAAGGGCTCAATAAATGTACACTGTTATGATGACATAACAGATCCCAGTTTAAATGCAGTTTGTTAGTTTGCAAGAATGCTACTATACCCTATTAACTCAGTGTTGCATTTCCCATTTTATAGGTTAAAAATATATATTTAGACAAGCTAGATGACTTGCCCAACTCACACATGTAGTAGCCAGAGGTGCAGAGTGGGACTCATGCCTCGGTCGTCTGCTTCCCAATGGCATGCTCATTTCATTGCCTAGAGACAGTGTTAGCAGCCAATCCCACCTCACTGTAGCCCCAAAGACATACACACATGCACACACGCACACTCTGTCACAAACACACACTTGCACAAACACACACACATATGCATTGC